CGTGTCATTGTGCCACGAACCAGCCACGGTGATTGACATGTTTTTGCATTCTTTGAGAACATTATAAGAATTTGGTATATGCTTGAGTGTTGAGTGCCTTCAAAAGCTCCACATACCTATAAATTGTTAGGAACTAATACTTTCTTGTGAGTTTCTTTTGGTTACTAACAATGATAGGAGTATACAAAGAGAACGGGATTGAACATATAAAACGTTGGCTTTCACATTGCCTTCATTTGTTGGTAAGTTTAATCCTAAGGACTATACGGATCTTACTTTGCAAGTGTTTTCCTCGCTACTAATAAAGAAAAATCTATCATCGCTGGTGGTGACGGCGAGCATGATCCATCGAGGCAAACCAACCGAAACCGAGCCTCTGCCGCTGGGACTACGCGCCGCCGCTACGGGAGAGGAGAGAGGGTGAAGGGAAAGCGAAACTTACCGAAAATGGAGAGGAAGCCGTCGGAGTATCGCCGTCAACTCCTGCGTGCGCGCTCCGTGGAAACCTCTTGCCGCCGTGTCGCCGTCGCCTACTACGCGCTCCGAAGAAACCCTAATCGTCGTCGTCGGAGGCACTCACTCTTGACTCCAATTAGGGAAATATTTTTTGGTTCTACTTCTGTTGCGTTTTGTGTGGTATTGTTGGGAAGGTGAGAAGTTTTGTGGTATTTTTTTTACCACTCAAAAGTTTGTGGTATAGATGAAATTTTCCCATACATGATATATCACAATGGCAGGCTATGTTTTGGACTGATGCTTTTAGTGGTGATTGATTGAACGAGGAAGATGAGCCAATTGATGTCGATGAGGAGCACTTATAGGGATTGATGATACTGTGTGTATTAAAGATGCAACAATACCTTATGTGATTGCAACTCAGGATGTTCCCGATGATCTGATCCACTATTTGTGCCTGAATATGATGGACCACTAGATGAAAATACACTCCCTATCTACATAATAGGGAGGACCCAAATTTTAGTAAAGATGTCAATTTCCCTAATGGAAAAGAGTTTAAACTTGCTATGAGGCAACATGCAGTAAGGGGGAGTTTGAGGTTAACGTGAGCCAGAGTGATACGACGAGGTATATTGCAACATGTGCTTCAGCTGATTGCAAATGGAGGATTTATGCTAAGAAATTGAGATATTTTAGTACATTTACGGTATATTTTGCATTCAAACTAACTTATTCATATTATCTTCTTTTTTTTAAAAAATAACTTATTTTCTTTTTTGTTGTTATGCAGATAACGAACATTGGTCCAATATCATCAGCAAACAAGATGAGTGGAAGTATGGTATCTCATGCGTGGGTGGCGGATAGGGCAAAGAATCTATTGGTTGAGAAACCAAAACTGGGTGGCAAGGAGTTAATGGAGACCTTGGAGAAGAAATATAACATCACATATATGACATAGTTTAGAATGGAAGTATAACATCCCATTAAGATATGACAGAGTTTGCAATGGAAGCCAAAAGGCTAAGGATGAGCTACATGGGTTATGAGAATCTAGTTTTTAGTTGTTTTGGAGTTTTAAGGTTGAGGTTGAGAGGAGCAATCCGGGTTCCATTTTGATATTAATGTCTGAAATGGCACAGTGTTCTTTCATAGATTTTTTGTTGCCCTGAGACCATGCATTGATGGATTCTTGAGAGGATGTCGACCTTATTTAGGTGTTGACTCTAGCTTTCTGACATAGGAAAGTATACTGGACAAATTGCTTCTGCGGTTGGTGTGGATCGTCATAATTGGCTATTACCAGTTGCATATGGAGTGTTTGATTAAGAAGAATTACGATAATTGGGAGTGGTTTATGCAAAGGCTGAGAAATGCAATTAGAACACCTCCTGGGTCAGTAATACATACAGATTCAAACAAAAACAAAGGTTTCCAATCAGCTATAAGTGATGTATTTGGTGAGCATGTTGAATACAGGGAATGTTTTAGACATTTATTGTTGAATTTCAACAAGAAATTTAGGGGTGGCATTTTTGACTCTTACATGTGGCATGCAGCTTGGACATATGTTAGACACAAGTATGATGTGATAGCTCAAGCATGCCCTGCTACCTTTGAACATCTAGAGACATACCATCCTCATATTTGGACAAGAAGCAAGTTTTCCCCTACTAGTAAGATTGAGTATGTTTGTAACAACCTAACTGAGAGCTTTAATAGTTGGATCAAAGGCATTAAAGAATTGCCACTTGTTGATCTAGCAAACAAGTTGAGGCAAATGATTATGAAGCAAATGTCAAAAAGAAAGGTGGTTGCTAACAGTCTTACAGAAAATATCTTGCCAAGTGTGGTGAGAGCTCTAAATGCCAAAAGTAGGGGTTTAAATTACACTATTATAAGAAGTGGTGACCATGGTGCTGAAGTCACAACTTTTGATAAGAAGACCAAGAAGGAATTGACATTTGGGGTTTGCCTTGACAAAAATAAGTGTACCTGTAGGCAGTGGCAAATATCTGGGAAACCATGCTTGCATGCCATAACTTTTATTTGCTCAATTAGAGGAGCAAAGATTGAAGACTATGCTGATGAGTGCTTCTCAGTTGCTAAATTTAAAATGGCCTATGAGACTTCAATAACAGCAATTGGAGATAAAAGTCAGTGGCCAAAGGTGGATCCAGGATTTAAGATGCTTCCACCCAAGCTTGGAAGGAGTGCTGGTAGACCTAAGACAACAAGGATCCCAAATAGTGGTGAGGGTTCTAGTAAAAAGGGAAGAAAGCAGTGTGCAGATGCCATGAATTTGGCCATCATGCAAAAGGTTGCAAAGCACCTAAGTTTGATCCTGGATGCATGGTACCACCACCACAACCACCAAAAGCTAAGAAAAGGTATCTATATCTTGAGTTTATCCTTCTTATTCATCACTTTTTATTACTAACAGCATGTATGATTTCTCTCTTTTTTAAATGAAAACAAAGGGTCCAACTGTAGTTTCTCAAACTTCACAAGAACATGTTACTTCCTCTCAGCCCCTTCGTGTGAATGCGCCAATTACTCAGGAAGGTTCTACATCTACTACTCAACCAATTCCACGATGCACTCCTCCAAGACAAGCAAAACAAAGGGCTGCATTGAGGGCTGCAACATTAAGAGCTACTGTATCAAGGGGGAAGAGAAACCTCCTGGATACTGTCATCAATCCTTAAGTTTTAAGTGATGAAAACTTTGATTTTGTTATATTGGTGTCACTGTGTCACTTTTGCTAAACTTTGTTGTAGTGGTTATTTACACTATCTCTAATTACTTGTCAGTTCAAATGACTTATTAGATTTTTATCTTTAATGACTTTAGTCATTTTGTTTGTGAATGTTGTTTTCCTTTGTCACCTAGAAACCACTAAGATGCTGTATTTTTTATGCAAGAAATATTGTCCTTTTTACTTTGCAAAACAATGTTGATAATATTTCCTTTCATGAAAGGACGAAAAAATTTTTTACAGTAGGTGCACGTAATTAAGAAATAATGGTAAAAAACAAGGTGCTCACCATGCATGTCATCCTGGTTCTTTAACAACTAGATTTTTTTAAAAAAATAAAATTACGTTTTTTTCGAAAAAAATAAGAGATTTAAAAATAAAAGAAGAAACGATCAATCCAATTCTATCGCACGCAAACAAAAAATTACTTTTTTTTCCACGGAAGAAAAGGAGATTTAAAAAGTAAAGGAAACGATATATCAAATCCTGTCGCACCGTTTTTTTCCACACAAAAGGAAACGATCGATCCAATCTGTCGCACGCGATTTCTCCCGTTCCTGTCGCCAGTTTTTTTTTTCCACAGAAAAGGTCGCACGTTTTTTTCACAGAAAAGGAAACGATCGATCCAATCTCTCGCACGCGATCTCCCCGTCGCACGGTCTCCCGATCTTCTCCACGGTGCACAGGGGTATTTTGGTCCTACAAAATGTGAACGCTACTTCCTGCTCCACTTCTGTTGCGTTCTGCGGTATTGTTGGGAAGGTGGGAAGTATTTTTTTTGTACCACTCAAAAGTTTGTGGTATAGATGAAATTTTCCCAAATATTTTGGCATCCGTGGGATTACTCATACTACAAGCGGACAAAACGGCTCGTGCGGCTCGTCTCGGCTCGGCTGGGCCAACCGAGCTGAACCCGAGCCCTCATCCGAGCCGAGCTTGGTCGCTTGATGGCTCATTCAGTTCTTTTTGAGATCTCAAATATTTAGTTTGCTATCATTTTTAACTATATACTACTACCTCTGTTTCAGATTATATATGAATAAGGGCAATGCTACAAAGTCTTATAATATAAAACGGAGGAAGTAAGTTTAAACACGAATATTTTATGGAAATGCCAGTGATCCGGCGCCCGATCAGTAGCAGAAAAATCGGGTGCCTGCCGCCTCCCGGGCTCCGCGCTATCCCCCCACTCACACGCGCCGTTGTAACAAATCACCCGCATATTATGAAAACACTATATTAAGGGAATCCGCTTTATTTTTTTCCACCAACAATGCCTCAGCAAGTGTACTCGTGATGTTTCACTATGTATGAATCAAATGTTGCAATGAATTGAAATATCATTTCGCTATTTGCTGAAACATTATTTTTATATAGGGTGAAACATCGCCCGATTTTTTTGGAAACCGTTGTTTTATACGTTGTAGCAAAATGTTTCACGAGATGATTTGGTTGTGTTTAAGCTTTTTTAAAATATTGAAACATTTTCGATCTACTTAGTGAAACAATTTCAATTTACTTGGTGAAACAACGCCTGATTTTTGCAAAAAAAAAATCGGGCGTCCGATTTGTAGGCGCCACAATATTTTACTACCAAATTTTGGTGATTTTTCTAGAAACTTCTTCATATTACACTATACAAGAATATTTGGCATGATAGCAAACCAAACAACACCCACACACTCTTACCCTGTCAAACTTTGCCAAATTTTAGTGCTGCCAAAATTTAAAAGGGTTACTTTTGGTATCGAATAAACCATGTATGGCACTGTATCCCTCAGAATACGGAGTAAATTCATTCCTGATTTCACCACCACACCACCGGTGCTTCCCCATTCTTGAGCAATTATTTGCTATACACAAAAATGGAGCTTCTCTCGCCAAACAACGGAGTGTTTCAAACATTTCGCGAAAATCAAAGACGAAAAGAGGATATTACCACAAAACTGAAACTGTACAGAGCAGCCTGAATCTAATCAAAGACACAAAATTATTCTAGGTTCAGATTTTTTTTTCTTTTTTTTGCATTTGCAGGACTCTGATTAATCACAATCCAGTCCCTTTGAAGCTCTTTGACAACCATATGGCCGTCTCTCTCGGAGACGCCTTCCCTGGCCCAAATGGCTTCAGCAAGATCCCCAGCTCCTCAAACCTCTCCTGCTGCAGCAGCTGTGCACTGAACTCCAGCAATCCTTCCAGTGCCTCGGCTCTCTGACGGTACGACGTCGTGTCGAATCTCCTCTGCTTCATCCAATCCGATGAGCTCGTGATGAGTGGATTACTGTCAGTGCCAAGAATGCTGGGATCAGAACTGTCTCCGGTGTGGTTCTTGCTGCTGTCGCTTCGGAGAACCTGGAATGTGCACTTGTCCTTGGTGATCGATTGGTCAGTGATGGATGGTGGATAGAGCTTGAGCTTGGTTGTGGGGTGCAATTGTTCATCATCAAATGATGGTATCGGGAATTCGGCGATTCTGTCGATTCGAGGAGAGTTCACTGAAACGTCGGGTGATTTTAGTCTGGTGAGGATGTCGGCGCCCTGCCGTTTCTCAGGAGTTTGCAACATGTTCACCGGGGTTGATGCTCGTCTTGTAGGTTGACTTGCTCGTTCCAGTGAACATTTGGATGGTGGAGTCTGTCAGTGTTGATGTCAAAGCAAAAGAATGTCAGAATTTTATGTGTGTGATATTTTCTTCAGATACACAAGATGATTCAAATCATGCACTTGCCACATGACAGGTATAAAAGCATTTCAAACATACATTTACAATGGCAGCTAGAATGAATGGTCACTTTGTTTGATAGAAATACTTTTTGGTAAAATTCATCATGAACAATTACTGGTTTTTCTTGTTAGTGATGATTATATGTTAATATTTTGTATGCTGAGAGAACAAAAATGGAACTATGATTCATATTAACTTTTCAGACCTCTCAACCAAACTGGAAAAAAAATCAAACAGTTCTTAAGAAAAGAAATTTTCTTCATACCTCAGCTGCTCTAGCATGAAATGTCTTTGAAGGTTCTAGTCGTATTCTAGGAGTTGATGATGCCCTTCTTGGAGTAGGAGCTGGAGATTTTGTTACTCTTGAATGATTTCCATGTATCACTTCATCAACAACTTTCTCGGTTAATTGTCCTAACAACTCATCCATTGGTTGTTTTAGCAATTCTTGGTAATCTTTTGCAGTTCCAGTAGAACTAGGATGGCCATTGTTAGCAGCAACTTTGTCAACTTTTACAATCCTGTCTACTTTAAATGAATGGCTCTTGCTGTACTTAGCCTTCCAATTGTTTTCATCATCAGAACATGAAGCCTTATTTGTATCCGGGAAAAGATTGCGAGCGGGACTCGACTTCAATTGGAGTTCCAGTACAAAGGGCTGAAGGTGTGGGTGCTTAAGCAATTCTGCAGCCTGAAAAACAGCATAAACATCAGGCTGTGAGATGCATGAATGAGTTCAGAAACCAGAGTACTAATGAAAAGTGAGGTTGAAAATAATATGCTGATTTGGAAGGAACACTTACACTTGGTCTGTGATCTGGACTTTTTCGCAGCATGCTCTTGATGAGCCCCCTACTGTATTAACCAAAACAAATTTGGCATGAAAATTTCAGAGATGACAAAAGGATTAGGTTCAAAATTCTATTATGATCTCACATAAGTTACTGTGGATCAAAGGGCTTACAATGCACCGGAGTAGATGGTCGGTAGAGGAGCGAGAACCGACTTGCTTATCTTGTTTATCAGTGTTTGCATATCCTGTCACAAATGATAGATTCATCATTCATCTAAGGTAGAAATTTTGGTAAAATGAGTACAAAATGGCATTATTTGGTTTTTTCTTTCATAGCTACTTACAAATGCTTTAAATGCAGGCTTCAAAGCAGTCATCTCATAGAGGCAACAGCCTGGAAATTTCAGATGTTTAACCAGGAGAACTTTGCAACATTCAGATTTCAGAAGAAGGCTTACCTAGTGACCATATGTCAGACTTGGAACCATATGGAATGTCAGCAAGAAGTTCAGGGCACATGTAGCTGGGAGTACCCACAACCTTCAGAAGGAATGCATTATGATATCACAATCAGAAGCAATTTAGACAGAGAATCAACTACAGTGTAGAGCAAGAGCAACTTACTGATGAAGTTAAATCGTCAGAAGTCAATACTTTGGCCAAACCAAAATCACCTGTTTCAGAAATCATATTCCAATTAACCAGGATGATATTAACATCATTTATTTGAAGTAAAATGTTTAAAACATTTTTTCATTTACTGAATTTACAAGAGGATACTTACCGAGCCGTATGTTTTGATCCTTCGTCAGAAATATATTTGAGCACTGAAAGAATGACACAGCAAAATATGATAAGTAAGCAGAACCAGTCCATTGTAAGAGCATAAAGGTTATGAATATATTTTTTTTGAGATGATAAAGATTATGAATATAACAAATCAAACCTTCACATCACGATGAAGGATATGGTTGACATGCAAGTAATCAAGTGCCATCAGGAGCTGCACAAGCCACATACAAAGTCTCTGCATGCAGAGAAATGGACAGCACAAAGGTGCAAATTTCAGTAATCAGAATCCACCGGTAAAAAAACAAAGTCATATGCTCTAGAGAGTATAGACAACAACCTCTTCTGAGAAATAATTACTGTTGGCCTTCTTAATGGCTTCTGACCTACACAAAAAGAGTGCAAATTATCAGAATTCAAAGTCAAATTCCAGGGACATTTCAGAGCTTATTGTCACAAGTTACATACATGTCTCCTCCTTCACAGTAACCAATCACGATGCACACATAACAACCCTGAAGACAACAAAATCATTTTAAACAATGAACAACATCTGGACCATTTTTTTGTAGGACCATTCAAAGAAAAGATTTGATATTGGGATCCTGCCAATATGCACAGCTAGGAGAGAGGGACCATGCTCAATTGCTCACCTTCTCCACCCATGAATCTTTGTATTCCACAATGTAAGGGTTCCTTACTTTTGCAATGAGCTCCATCTGTATGAGAAAAAAAATCATTAAGTTATGCACATGATTAAGGTCGATATCTGCATTAGCACTAGATCATGACAGAAACCATCATTTCTGTATTATCACAAGAAAGCCATGACAAAAGTACAGTCTGCCATGGTCCATGGAAACAGAGTAGCAGGCCCTGGAAGACAACAAATAAGTTTGACCCATTTGAATATTCAAATCCTCTCATGTTTTTTTTTTTGGGTATATCGAAAGAACAATCTTTTTCAATAAAATCATTGCGCAATAAATCAACAAAATCTAAAGCCATTTTGCATTTGCCGTCTAACTTACCTATGATTACCAGCGTGGATATGATTGCGGCATTTCAAATTAGGAATTCAGAAACAGGACCACAAGAACAGTACCCCAAAACATGAACAATAATAGAACCTTTTTCACAACTTAAGCTAACTTGAATTGTAAGATATCACACTCCCCAAAGGGGACAGAGGGTGTTAAGGGGACCTCTTGGTGTGCTGATCGGCGGCATCTGTCGGTCTGACGGGCAAGTCTGATCTTCTTCAAGACATACCTGAAACAATCCTTTTTTTTCAGATTTTTTGGAGGGTAACATCATCTTGCAAAATCCTAGAAAGCAATGTATGCATTGCACAAGAAGGAAGAAGACTATAGTATCTGCCTTACCTCTTCTTCTCAACCTTGTGTCTCACCAGGAGGGCAGAGCCAAATGACCCCTTCCCAATCTGCTCCAGCACCTCATACTGCTCCATTTCTTGGCCGCCCCCAAATTCAGATTTCCTCTCTGCGATGAAAATGATATGATTTTGAAGGGAACAGCAAGAAATTTCTGTGAAACTGTTCAAATGTGGCCCAGCCAAATACTAGTTTTTGAAATGGCTCGAGATGTCATGCCATTCAAAAAATTCAAAATCCATTGAGGGTTCTTGGATAGGGAACAGATGAGCCAAGAATGCTTTGCTTTCAGCTTGAAAGAACATTGGCAATGGATTTGCCTCATGAAAATTCACAAGTCATAATCAAGAAAGGAGGACATAAAGGACAATAAGAAGTGCAATTAATAGCTATGTAAATGCGAAGTTGATATCAATTTGCAAAATTCGGTTGCAATTCCTAATTTCACACTAGAGGACAGCATTTAGGGAAGGAACAGATGAAGAACAAGCAATGAAGAGAAGAAGAAAGCATGAAAAACAATCATACAGATGCTTGAAAAAGAAGAGAGAAAAAAACAAAAGCCAGAAGAACATTAATCTGAAGGCACATCGATTCTTGGAAAAGCTTGAAGCAGCATTGATATTTGGAGAGGAAGAAGAGAAGAAAAGCCAGAAGAATCTCTACCTTGACTCAATTGGATGAAATGAAGGCCGTGTTCTTCCTTCTTCCTCAGTTGCCTCCCATTTTTAGAGAGAGAAACTAAAAACTACACCTGAGATGCTCTCTTATGGAGAAGACAGATAGATTGGGCACTCTTGCTAATGGAGGGCTGCCTGTTTTTGTGAGAGGTTTCAAACTTCTAGAGAGAGAGAGAGAGAGAAGGTGGTGGGAGGCATATACACTCTAGAGAGATTTGACTAAATTTTCTTTGGTGATTAATGTACTGAAACAGTCTTAATTGGGCTGATTCGTATCACCATTTCTTGATGGCGGATTTCATACGCGTTTCTGTACAAAGCTGGCTGTAAAGAAAGCCTCAGATTTATATATGAAGAATTGTTAGTACATGCAAGCAAGCATCTCTATGACAATTATTAGGCTTTTTTTTTATGTGAAGAAATTAATTACAGTAGAAATGCATGGAGAACCTGCACAAACAGGAGTACATACAGGACAGTGGATTAACGGTTCATAAGTAGTACAATTGTCATCACACCTAATTTGTACCAATCCAGCCTTAAATGAACATAACCCCATCAGAGCAACCGAATTCTTGTACCCATGGTGTTAATTATTGCACTGATGTACTTATGAGACGCATGTTGTTTCTTAATTGGAAAAAAAGGGGAGAAAATTACTGTGTCAAAAACTATCCGGCAATTCAGAAAAAAATATATCCAGTTTTACCGTACTTCCTCAAGTCATTAATATAAATATAATAGCCTTTTTATTTTAGTATGAAAAACATCATATATTAATCAGAGGGATTAATTCTTACGCAATATTATCACTAGATTATAAAGGAGTGAAGTGACAACACTTTGAATCATTCTCAGCGCATATAAACTAATTAAACTTTTAATTAGTCCATGGAAAATTCCTGCGGGTTTCCAAAGGCCAAACAGGTATTTACTCAGTGTTATATTCAAATTAAGAATCTGGGATTTTTTTCACCGAAATGGTATGGGTGTTTTTTCTCTAATAATGGGGAAACTCCGGTCTTTGCTTCTACAAAAGCTATAGCCAGTTATTACAAAGTCTGCAAAGTGCTTATAGGATAACCATAAAAGACACCAATAAATTAAATTTGGACGAGGAGAGTTATCGAATTCAATTAAAAAAAGAGAGGAGGGGAATGTGAATTTGATGCCAATTGGCTTTATTGGATGGATGGTTGCTTGAGCAGCACCGACGTTTAATAGTGTGATCCTACAACTATCAAAGGTGTGTAGACTTTAGTTAACATGAAAGATGCCACACACGTCGCATTAGTAGGGTACTAAGATAATACACGATATATACAGCCTTTATCATATTGGACCCAGCAATTAAATCTAATTTTTAAAGCTTTATCACTTGTTTAATCAATCGATTATATTAATTACTTCCTTCCTCCACATCACCTCAAGAAAAATCCTGCCCTTTCAATCATCAATTAATTTATTCATTTGCACTTTCAAACTACTAAAGGAATATAATAATTGAACAATTTTCGTTTTCCATTTGGCAGCTTCTGCATTTCAGTCCATTGATGATCACACACGTGCAGAGGCTACAGGCCACACGTGTGCACGCGCACAATTGCCAATCATCATCAAAGTATGAAAAACTCCGAATTGTGACAAAATTTCAGCCATAATTTTGGGTTTGGTGCGTAGCACTGAAGGCTGTGTTTGGCGAAGATTGAATAATTAATTAGCTACAGTGATTTAAGCTGCTGATTTAGGAGGTAATCATGGGGTGTAGGGCATGGGGGTGCTTCGGTTAGGACAAGGCCATCATCATCATCATCATCATCATCATTATCCTGCACTTGATGCTTTGCTTTATTTCTTGTCGTCTGTTCAAGATAAGCATCCATGCATGGATGGATGGATTTGTGACTTTGGATTGGATTAGTGAGAGAGAAGAGAGGAAGAAATTAAGGGGAAATGTAAGGAGATTTGGTGATGTGAAGTGGCATCTTAACTTGACTGTTGAACTGTTTGGATAGTGGATGGAGGACTATTTGGAGAGGGATGGATTACCATTCTCCTATCCTCATGGCAGCCATACTCGTAGGCTCCATGCTGCGGCAGTGTCAAGTGACACACTCACATCAAGCGTAGCTGATCAGGGTCTACTCCCTCCATCTAAAGAATAAAACTAATGCGAGATATAACACATCCTAGCACTACGAATCTAAACGGGGTATGTCTAGAATTGTGAAACATAGGTTGTGTATATATCCCTTCTAGGATTGTGAAATGGAGGGAGTGTGTATTTATATGTTCAATGATAGAGTCATAAATTTTGTGAAAGTTTATACAGCGTTGAAGTTTTTCATGGTTGCATTTTTTTTTTGAATTTTAATAGTTTACTACCCCCAGTGGCAACGAGCGCGGTTGTCATGTTTGGGTACTACCTCTCTCCTCCACTCTAGGAGGTGGTGTGCATATGTTTTTTATGGCAAAAAGATAAGGGTATAGCTATATTTATGGCGCCATATTTTTCATCAAAAAATAGTCGGCATGTATTTATATTGTAAGTCCCTAAATTACATATGTAATTTTAGTGTATTTACAATGTAAGTCTCAAAATTACATATGTAAGTACTAAAATTACATATGTAAATTCAAAAATTACATACTAATTACATATGTAAGTGGGGTGTAAATGAGGTGTAACTACTGTGTAAGTGGCTGAAAAAAATCGACTGTAGCATATGGCGCCATATTTCTAGCAACTCCGAAAGATAATGAGAATATTGATGCGTAGATATATAACTGGTGGAAACAAATTTTTAAGGGCCTCTTAAAACATAGGATTGTGAAACGTAGGAATAGAATGTCATGCTCATTGTTTTTTTAGATCTTAAACCACGAGAAAGATTTAAAATTGACATTTGATTGGAACATAGGAAAGATGTAGGAAGAAAAAAAAATGAGGTAGGACCTCATGCTTATTTTCCTTCAAAATTACTCTGCAATAGCTTATTCGATAGGAATTTAAAAAAAGTATGTAGGAATCAAACCTTTATTTCAAAGAATTCCATAGGATTATTTCCTATAGGATACAAATCCTCTAGAATTTATTTTTTTTCCTTTGTTTCAAAGGAGGCTTTATAAATAGTTATACCGTGCACTACTCCAAAAGAGAAAAAAAAATGCCTCACAAGTAACTTGAGTGTAACTCAACTGATTAGGTTCTTTATAATAATAGAGCCTAACTACTCGGGTTCAAGTTTTAGACTTGGTACTCGTATTTATCGTTAATTTATTTGTTCAGCGGTAGGCGACATAGTCATCGACAATATCAAGATATGCTAGATAGGGTGTGCTTGAGTGTTTATAGGGATGAGTATATGAGCGCATACATCTATATTGTGTTTCGAGGGGAAAAAATAATCTCACATTTTCTATACTACTATTAAAAAAGACAATAGTGGGCCACCACCACCATCACTAATATATATGTAAACCATGATATGAGTACCTTTTTTTTTTACTATATAGGTTCTAGTTCTAACTTTCTAAGCATGTCATTTTTCTTTTTGTATTTTTAAGATGAAAATTTTTGTTTCAACCAATTAAAGATATTTTTCAACAAAAACTATTTTTTCTATTTTTTATAATCTATTGCAACGCTCCGACATTTGGCTAGTATCAAGAAGAAATTCGCAATGCTGAAAGCTTGAAAGTTGTAGAAAGAGAGAGTGTGTGTTTGTGATAGCTCAGGGTTTCCCTTACCGTCAGGAGGGGGTTACCGTACCCTAGTGATAAGCACGGTTACCACGCAGTAACCATGGCAAATCATAAGAAACCATATAAAATTTATTAAAAAAATCAAATTATTTTAAAATTTATTTGAATTTAATGATGTTATCGGGGTTTTATCTTTATTGTATCCTGACGGTAAGGTGTTATCGGGGTGGGAGTACCTATACATCTTTCGAAAGATTTTTATGATCATATCATATAGATTTTTAATCTTTGAATTAAAATCTAATAGACACAGTAAAAGGCAAAAAGCAACTAAGAACATCATAATGGACTCTAAGTTACCATATCTTCAAGAAAAAAACCAAATCCAATATAAATTTCAAAACTTGCATGTGAAGATTCAAAAATTATACTATAACTTACAAAAGTTACAATGTAAGTTTCATAAATTACACTGTAACTTAAAAAAAATACATTGTAAATTTAAGTGAGAAAATCGAGTGAGAGATAAGAAAAAATATTTTAAGTGAGATATAGCAAAATCGTATGGGGGTTACGCCGGTTTGGTAAACCTTAGACAGAGCTCGAGGTAACAGGTATTTTTGGGCCAAACCGTGTCGCAAGCTAGGCCCAGTTACAAATGCTTTGTGTGGTGATGGGCCTGGCATTGCTGGGCTGAACCAACTATTAATTGCACGCCGCTTTGTTGTTTCCTTCGCTTCCGATTTTCCAATGAAAAATTGTTCCCGAATTCTGAGAGCTGAGAGATTTCTGGCCTGAAATGGAACTGGGCATTCTTGCCCTTTAATTTGTTTCAGTCCAATCACCCGTCCCATTATACATATCAAGTAAGTTTGCTAGCTACTGCACCATAATACTCCGTTTTTAAATATAAAGCGTTCTTGTTTTATGGAAATTATCATTTATAACTTTTGACCATTAATTACACTATTGTTTAGTCCCACACATGTCATACCATTCATTCGTATTTGAAAAGGCTTTTCTATGATGTTAATTATGTACTCCCTCTGCCAAAAAGAAAAATCAACTCCTGATCACTATTCATCTAGACATGATATATAGTTAGGAGTTAGCTTTTTTGTGATGGAGGATGTAGTTGTTAATAACAATATGTTATGAATGAAATGTATGGTCAAATTATCATCTTGAAGACCATGTAAAATTTACTCCCTCCGTCTTATAATATAGCAACCTAAGATAGGATGGAACATTTCAAAGTGCAACGATTTGAACAGGCCGATGGGATATTTTATAGTATAACGAATCTAGATGAAAGACATGTCCAGATTCGTTATACTATGAAATGCCCCATCGTGTTCTAGGTTGCTATATTATAAGACAGAGGGAGTAATATGTCTTAGAACAAAGGGAGTATATATATGCGGTAGA